TCGACCTATCGACCTATCGACCTATCGACCTATCGACCTATCGACCTATCGACCTATCGACCTATCGACCTATCGACCTATCGACCTATCGACCTATCTACCTATCGACCTATCGACCTATCGACCTATCGACCTATCGACCTATCGACCTATCGACCTATCGACCTATCGACCTATCGACCTATCGACCTATCGACCTATCGACCTATCGACCTATCGACCTATCGACCTATCGACCTATCGACCTATTGACCTATCGACCTATCGACCTATCCATCCAACCATCTATGTCTGTCTGTCTGGCTGTCTGTCTGTCTGTCTGGGATTCGTCTGTTTGGGACTCCCCCCCGGAGTTTGGTTCCGCCGCCCGCGAGTTTCGCGAGGACCACAGCGGGCGCCTGGCCGGAGACGAGACTCTGCGCCGGGAGGTGCTGGAGAGCTGCGGCCAGAGCTGCGAGGCTTCCGAGCGTCGCGTCGCGCTCGGGGCAGGCGGCGGAGCTTGCGGGGGAGAGTTGTGGTGCAGCGTCCCAAAAGGGGAGCTTCCTTCTGAGCAAGAAACCGTTGGTTGGGGTAGACTTAGGATAGAATCGTTGGCACGTTCCCAGTGACTGAGATTGAAGCAAACCATAAAATATACTTTTTATAACTGGGCTTAACTGTAATCATGTGTGTGTGTGTGTGGTTTCCCTTTGATTTCCATTAAGACGGCCATGAAAAGGGAACCCTCGAAAGAAGAGCTCTCTCTTGCGTTTCGTGTTGTTTGAGTGTGATGTGTTGTGAACACCGGCCGAGTCACAAGTTGTTTGTGGCCCCCGGCTGAATTTTTGGAAGCTCGCAGTGCGCTTCTGGGGGGACTCCGCACAATTCCAAGGCCCGGGTCACGCTCCTTTGGCACAGAGGGCCACTCTCCTTCTCTCAGCATTCTTTCTTACTTGTATGGGAGAGGGCACAGAGGCGCGGGACTCCGGCCATGGCCATGGCATTGTGACCATTTTCAAAGATTTGGTTTCGTGCCGGTCCCCAAAGAATGACATGTTCGGTGTGTCTACTCCTGATGCATACGGCGCAAAAACGTTGCCGGCTTCTTGGTGAGTGGCAAGACGACCCTTCCGCCCGTGCCATTCCGGGTGATCCAGTTCACCTTTTTGGCTTGGTGTTTGAAGCCTGCAGGGATGGCCGCCCATGTTTTGACCATGTTCTTGGATGCGAGGCCGCAGAGGCGGCGGCGACGCGTGCTGGGGCCCCGGCACGGGGCCTTTTCGTTGGGTTCGCCTTGCGGAGGCGATTGAGAGAGCCCTTTGCATTGTGAAACGGCCGTAACGGCCGTGGTGGTCAAAACCGCTTTGGGATCCCATTTTGGTTGGTAGGTGAATTCACCACCCATTCGAACCTATTTCAGTGGGGATTGGGATGTTCACTGGGGGTACGAGTTGGGTTTTGACCCACAGCCAAATATCTCCCTTCAACTGCATTGTATTCTTGGAGACGGGACAGGTCTCAGACTTACATGATGACACGGGCATGTTTGATAGGGTTTTGGAAGCCTACGGCCCCAACCTCAGAGCCCAGGGAAGCCTCGTTTCGGGGAGAGTAGCTGGTAACAAAGCGGCCGTTTCGAAGTGGCGCAAGGATCTCGAGAGCGACATTGGCCCCGAGAATCGCGTGTGGACGTGTGTTCTCCATGACACCCGGGAATCCCCACGAGGGTTCGGCAAGGGAAAAGATCGAGTCTTATGTGTGCGGTTTGTGGCCATAGCTTCGTTCAGCTTCACTGCTAGTTTCCCCCCCTTTCCCGCGCCTGGACGCATGTTTACCCTGGTGCAATGTGGAGCTCAAAAAGCAGCGTCCTCCTTTAGAGGAAAGCTGTCTAACTCGGAACCCCCTCAGCTAGGTTCCATCTGGACGTGGATGGAATAGGATTTCGGCGGACAGCGACTGCTTGTCGCCGGGCGGAGGGAATGCACGTTTTTACGGGTTCTGTGCGAAAAGGGTGGCTCATGGGTCTGTATGCTTTCCTTTTTGGGCGGCGTAAGAATCCTCTCCTGTGGCAGTTGTTGAATCTGGAACCCTGTTGTTTGGCTTGATCATCATGTAGATTGTACCCACGGCTTAAGTCGCCCCCTTTTTGGCGACTTGAGTTCAGAAACGACGAGAAGTTGGATGGTTCAGTTTGTCAGTTGTAGGGACCCACTAGGCTTCCCATGTCCATCATGGGAACAACCTATGGGGATTTTGCTGACAGGGGGACCCTTTTCATGGCAAGCGACTTGTATGGACGCCGAAAACCGTTGAGTTGCCATCGGTTCTCTTCAGCCAAGCCGCAAGTCCTAGTTTTCACTTCCAAAATCTGGGTTCTCTGGTTGAATCAAGACCTGGTTCTTTGGCGTCTCCCTTTGTGGCGTCCTTTTCTCATTTCTTTTAGGTGAAAGAGAGAGAGTCTTCCCAGCACACTTGAAACGTATCCGGGTGGAGATTGGAATACCAAGGTAGAGTTACCCTAAGTGTTACCCTAAATCCGAAGCTCAGGGGGGTCTCCTTGCACCACTTGTTGGCACGCACTTTTTGCTGCTGGCTGGTGTTTGTGTTTGGTTTGAGCTCCATGTCATGTATGGGTATGGGTCACAATGGAACCACCCTGCCCGCAGGTTTCTTTCGGAAGCCACGTTGCCATCCCAATTTTGTTAGGTGCCCCACTTTTTTCCACTGCAGCCGCCCATGTCGCCGGCTTCACTCGATCGAGCGAACGGCAAATCGGCAAATCGTTGAGGCGCAGGCCCTGGCGGCAAAGGCCTCCCAGGGCGCCCGGGAGGCGAAGGGCTGGGTTTGGTTTCGGTCTTGGTTCTGCTTTGGTTTTGGGTGAGTGGCTTTTGCGGGACCGGAGAAAAAAAATTAGGAGGGTCTGGGGCCGAGCTTTTTCTCTTCGGCCGGATGGATTCGTTTGGATCCGTCGCTGGGGTTTCCGGAGGCTTTCTAAGACTCGGATTTTTGGACAGAATGGGGACGGTAGCCTTGGAGTTGTTTGAGGGACTTTGTGGAAACCCAGAAGCCGGACACAGCCAAATGGGGGCGTGGTGCCTTCCCAGCAAAATTGGGGGAAGAGGGCGAAATTGGGGGGGAGCTCATTTTTTTGGGGGGGTCTTTTGAAAAAAATGAAGACACAGCCAAATGGGGACTCGTTAGTAGGGGCCAAGATTTGGTCTGGCTGGCGTGAGAGGGTAGGGCCCAAAACCTCCTGGGTCCCTCGCCCACCGCCTCGCAGGCTGCGGCGGAGGTTGTGGCGTCTGCGGAGGAGGGGTCGCCTTTTGCCCGGCTGACTTGTTCAGCAGGTGCCATGTTTTGTCTATGACTTAGCTTTGGCGCATGTTGCTTGGATGTTAGGACTTTAGCTTTGGCCAACTAATGGGTTTTCCATTAAACCTAAAAGTTAAGCTTTTAGCAGGGGAGCAGAAAGCAACCAAGATAGCAAATGAGATTTCGGCATGTGCCACAACAAGTTTGACCTTCGAAAGGAGCCCAACATGGAACGTCCAAAGCAACTTCTGTGACTTAGCATTTGGGGGCTTGATCAAGAGGTCCGATGAACATGGGATGACCCTCGGTTGGAAAATATCTGATATTTACCAGGACAGCTACCCACGCTCTTTGGGGGCTAGGAATATTGATCAAAACCAAATATGGTATTTTGGGGCATTTGCCACAACAAGTGAAAAACTTTGTAAAGGGATGTTCGAAAGGAGCCCAACATGGAGCGTGCGTTTGTAACTTGAATGTTAAGACGTAAGTCTAGATCAGTTTTGATCCCCCCATGGAGGGGAGCTCAGAAGGCGAAAATCTTACTCGCAGAATCTCGCTCAAGCTCACCCACCCAGCCGTTGGACCAACACCAACCACACCATCACGCCATCACACCAGCACACCATCACTCCATCACCCCATCACCCCACCACCCCATCACCCCATCACAAAAAACAACACAAACACGAACACATTTACAACACTCCTCACAGACAGACAGAGACAGACGGACACACGCAGACAGGCCCGAGATTTGTGTCAGGAACAGTCAAGTTCGTCCCTTGACCATTTCCTCCCCGCGCGAAGTTTTCCAAGGCGCTAAGTTTCATCCGGATTGGACTGTGAGCCGACCGGGCCGATGCTTCCGGGGCCTTCAGGGTGAAAGGATTTGCCTCGAGATTCAGTATGGATCCAGACCCTTTGGCAACTAGGTCCCGGGCATGCGAGCCGAAGCTCGGCTGAAGTTGAGGAGCTTCCGAATGAACTTGCCTCACAACCAGGCCTTTGGTTACTTTGTTACTTTTCCCAGTCGCTCAGTGCTGGCTACGAAGATTAGAGACGAGCTGTATCCGAAGAATTAGACAACGTGGATTTCGGCCCGACTCAACGGAATCGCGGGCAAGACATTGGGTGATGGCAACCGAAGGGAAGAGCCCAGAATTCCAGGCAACAAGGATCGCTTGATCCCAGAGAGAGAGAGAGAGAGAGAACACATGGTTGTGTTGCGGACAGTGGGGGACCGCCAGCAGCAGTTGGTTTGCTTGCTTCCAGCAGCAGCCGGTCGCACGGAACTTGTGGGATTAGGACCGCGACAGCTGCTTGGTTCCGCTTTCAACTTGACCACCTATGCAAAAGGTCCCTTAAGTTTAGGACACATCTTCCACGACTACTTGGGTATATGGACAATGCAGATACGATAGTTCCATACATCTACAAGGGGAACAGAATGGAACACACAATCAATCCCGCATTCTCCCATACGGTTTAGCTTGGCACCCAAAGACTTTTCCTTTTTAGAGGAACCTCCTTTCAAACCTATTCTGAGAGAATATTTCCAGTTGATCCTTCGATTGTTTCATCCTCATCCAATACTTGGAATTCCAAGCATAAAGAGCAATAACACAAAATATTCACACAACACACAGTTCGAGTTTGTTTGAACAAAAAAAATAAAAACCCAAAAACAAACGCAGAATTCCAACGAGATTCATTGAACAATCCTTTGAAGCCCCATGGGTAGCGTTGTTCAGCAAGCCTCGGAGGAGGCCCTGCTGGAGAAGCTGAAGCTTCAGGCGGAGGAAGGCGGAGCCGGGAACTGGGAGCCGGAACCGGGAACCTCTTCGGTGCCGAAACTTGGGGTTGGGCTGTTCATGGTTGTTGTTGGGACACATTTTTGGGTTGGGACACATTTTTGCTTTTGGTTTATGGTTGAACTGGTCGTTGTTGGGACACACGACTTTTTCTCCGCATTTTTTTCCGGTTTCTTCGTGGTTTAGTGGACATCCAAGCACTTAGCTGCTAACCTCCGAATCTTTTTGCCCAACCCAACGTCAGGCAAGTGTTTGGGACGCCAAACGCCAGGCAAAATTCCGGGGGCTTCTGAGCCCAAGGGTCCGGAAGTAGGTCGAAAAAAATCGCCCCGGGGGGATTTTTTTTCCGCACGTGGCGCGAGCCGGTTCTCTTCGCGGTGCTTGGCGCATGTTTTTTTTTTTTTTTACCCGCCCTCCAACAATCATGGAAGCTGACAGGAGGGTGTTTAAAGACTGTTTTTTTGTCTTGGGGAAGCCCCAAGAGTCCACTTCCACGATTGGAGGGAGGCTAGTTTTTTGGGTTCTGTTCATTTTTACTGGGGGTCTGCAAAAAACACAGTTTTTTTTGCTACCATACCAAGAGTAAAAGGGTCCTGTTGTTTAATAAGACAGGCAATATTCAGGTGGAAACCTAAAGTCGGTGGTGAGCCACTTGCTCAAAACCGATTCGGGTAGATGATCCGGTTAGGGATGATCCTCTTGCCATGAATAGCTGCGGAGATCCGCATTCTAATAATTCTTGAAGCATGGTTCTGGGTGGACCATTTTAATACCGGGTTTTTGATGATGACTCCAGGTAACCCTTAGTTGGTGTTTTGGATTGGTGGTGGGATTTGGACCCTGGCTCTTGTGGAGGAAAATATGGGGTTTCCCCCCTCCGAGTAATCTGCAAACTACCCAAACCACCAAACCACCAAACGAGGGAAGCTGAAAAAGGGGCTTCCCACCGGGCTCCTTAAAGATACCTTTTGCCCAAGTGAAACATGTTGCTTTTTTAACACCAGCATCAAGTTGGAAGCCACCATTTACAAGTTGCAATGCTCAGGTGGATCCATTGCATCCGGCTCCCTGCCACACATCTTCTTTTTTTCCCCTCCTTGGGCCCGCCGTCCGCTTCCTGGGACTTCGAGCAAGCGGCGTTTTTCTTTGGCTTTGCAAATGCAAATGAGCCTCAAAACGAGTAACCGCAAGAAAAAGAGGCATCCATTTTTTGTTGTTGTTCAAACCAATCCCAAGAAGAGTGCCAACGTCCAAAAAACACCATGCGTACCTTTGGTTTCTTTCAACACCTGAAACAGACAATACCAAAACAAGAAACGCCACACCGTAGGTGTCCCTTCAAACCAACCTACCAAATCCAAAGAAGAGGCGCCCACCAAGTTCTTTTCAAACCAATCCCGAAAAGAGTGCCAACTCCAAACAAACGACATCCCTGCCTTTGGTTTCTCTTCAGCACCTCAAAAATGAGACACTGCACCCAGCTGGTTTGTTGTCCCCAAAACTAAAATCACCCACCTCGGAAATATGGGCTGCGCGGGCCCCGAAAAAGTTTCAGGTCGCCACGGTGCGGCTTTGCTGGAGCAGCAGCTGAAGGAGCGCGTTGCGAAACCTGAGGGTTACTCTCAAAAAGCTCCATGGGATGACCATTAGTCGCCCACCCAAATGACTTTATATGCTAGGTCCCCCAGCAGTGCCCTTTGACCCTTTTTTGGGGGAGGGAAAATAGACTACAGAAAAAAGTTGGTGCCCTTATTCTAAGCTCTCTACTGGAGGACCTACACATGGGAAACTGTCTGGGCCACAAGCTCGGGTGCCCTTGACCACATTCCAAGCTATCCACCAGGTGAACAAGCATGTGCACATACACACACATACATATATATATATATATGTATATATACATACGTATATATATATATATACCAACATATATATATATATACCAACATATATATATATATATATAAATACATATGTGCGTGCCGTTTTTGGAGTCGGAGTTGGTATCCCTTTGAGGTCATCCATTTTGAGCCCATTCTGTAGACCTGCCCAAAAAAACTTCTGCCCTGATGTTGCAGCCTCTTTGCCGAAAGAGCTTGCAACATTTTTTTTTCTTGGGGACCCCCCATTTGGCTAGTGTTAAAGGGACACCAACACAAAACGGTTTTGTTTGACCCCCGCCGCACATGTTGAGAGACGGGCCCAGGTTCTTCTCAGCCAAAGGCCCAAAAGTCGCGAGGACATTGGGCATCGACTCTCACTTCAGGCGAGGGACGTTGACAATTTTTGGGAGGGCTCCAAAGGGAGTTTTCCACGCACGAATCCAGGTTGGACCATTTTCATGGCGTGTTCCCTGAGAACATCTGAGGGCTTGATTGATTTAGAAAGGGACATGAAGGGGAGAGAAAACAGTCATTCCCCAAACAGTGTGTCTACACTAAGGGGTTCTTACGGTAAGAGAAAAGGCCTTGGTGCCAGATTGAGGTGCCCGCTCTGGCCGCGAGCGTTTTGCGTGGTATTTACCGCAGATTCGTGCTCTTGCTTGATGTCGAAGTGCGTTTTGACTGCGCAGGCTCGCACAAAGTGAGTTGGCGACTTCTGGCCGCGAGCGTTTTGCGTGGTATTTACCGCATATTCGTGCTCTTGCTTGATGTCGAAGTGCGTTTTGACTGCGCAGGCTCGCACAAAGTGAGTTGGCGACTTCTGGCCGCGAGCGTTTCGCGTGGTATTTACCGCAGATTCGTGCTTTTGCTTGATGTTGAAATGCGTTTCGAGTGCGCAGGCTCGCACAAAGTGAGTTGGCGACTTCTGTCCGCGAGCGTTTCGCGTGGTATTTACCGCAGATTCTTGCTCTTGCTTGATGTTGAAGTGCGTTTCGACTGCGCAGGCTCGCACAAACTCGATTTTTTTGCTTTTTTGGCGGCTCCGGGGACCGTGGGGGTTTTGTCTCGTGGTCCGGCGGCACGGGTTTCCGGCGAAAGGTCCCGGGCTCGATTCCCGCCCTGTCCGCGCGAGCTTGTTTCCCTTTCTTTGGGCATGCTTGGATGGTGCTTCTGTGCCGCGACGGCGTCTCGATGGTACTCTGAACAACAACACCCAAAAACAGCAACAGCAACAGCGCCACAATCGAGAACAAAGGAAGAAGCTACCTAGCTAGCTAACTCACTAACTCAGGCACTCTGGTGAAACAAACACACAGATCTTGCCTTTTGTAGTGATGCTTACACACACACACACGCACCCACACACACA